TTTTTTTTTTTCCCTCAATCACATTTTAGTTTTTGGATCGTAAGGCCTTTTTCTGTCATAAATTCAAAACAAGACTTTATCTGTGGTGAAAATTTTCAGAACATGTAGTAGAACCATAAAACAATTACAGCATTGTTTCAGGCTCTGCAAGATTTTTCTGTTCTTTTTACTAATGGGAATGGAAATAAATATCTCATACCTCTTTTACATTACAAAAAAAAAGATAAAAATAGACCAGAATAAAAGTTTCATCTGCTCTCAAAAAAAAAAAAAAGAAATCATATTGTGTCATTGTCACTTGCTTTGTTTACTCGAGAAGCACAGCTATTACAAGATCAAAAAGATGTCTTTTAATTAGCTACTGAGGGAGAATACGTCCGGAAGTAGGACTGTATGTCTTATTGCTTATTAACATTTCTGCACGTCTTACTTCAAAAAACTAGGTGGTCTCAGTTATTTATGGATTCAGAACAAAAGAGACCACACAAAGAAAAAAAAAACAATTCCTAGGACTACAGTGAGATTTATTGTTTTGGAGCAAACACCGCTACACTCTTTTTCCTGTCACCAGTTTTGGTGTTTTAACACTGAAATTGCTTAAGATTTTATAGAAGAAGCAAAGATAAAAAAATATATATGTTTTATATAGGGCACGATCAGAACGAGATCATGATTCATCAGAAAACTTTTCCAAAGACATCACTCCATGACCCAGTTGGCCTGTCCTTACGATCCCTCGTTGTTAAAGGACAAGAAGAACTGATGTGAGATCAGCTGCATTGGATGATAAGAGTCGTCTGTATCCGTTGGACACTTTTCCTGCTTAATGTTCTCTTTAAGACGAGCAGAAGACATTATGACCTGATTTTGTTTAACTCCTTGCCTTAACAAGTTATGCCTCCCGGGTCTATTTTATTCTCAAGTTGGCATGCCTGTCATGTTCACATGTGAGATAGAAACAATTATTGTGAATCCTATTGCTCTATGTAGGCCACTAGCATTCAAGTTTAATTATTTCATAGCTGGAGTGACAAAAACTTGGTCTTGAACCTGAACTTGAAATTAATTGTCACAGATATCAGACTCATTGCTTCTTCTGTTTGCTTTCCCTTTTTGTTTTCCCCAATTTATTCCTCTTGTGCTGAAGCCTTCATCACTCCGGGCAGAGATTTGTCATTAACTTCCTCTCAGCACAGCACCAGAAGCCAGGAATATCTCTGTGGGTCCACCGTTGAACTAGTAACCTATTGATGTAAATAAAATCTACATAAAATATTGTTTTTAATAAACTGAAGAACAGACGTGCTATTAACTGCATGAGCCACCATCTTATAATCAGTGTAAACACCTTTCACTCTGAATAGCTGCTTCATTAGGACACTGAGTACAGATCTGTGTGGATGTATCAGCAGAGCATGGCACTTTGAAAGCTTTCTAACTGACTTCTTTCTCTGCAACAAAAAAATGGGTTGATGTTGATTGGGACCGACAGCGTTATTAAAATAAAGGCTGGCATGCAGTGAAGCCTGTATGGAGAAATCAGTTAATAAATCAGCTCTTGTTAGCATACTTGATTATGACTAATTATCTGCTCATTATTTGGAGAAGAATCTATTTATTTAGCCCGTTGAAAACACTTCAATTACTGTTGACAGAGTTTTTTATGAAATGCTATATGGAGGGACAGTTGCTTAAAGGGACAATCCAGACCATTTGAGGTGTGGTTGTGTGGAAAGGTTAACACCAAAAAAAAAAGTCTTACATCTTTAAACAATCTCAGTTTGGAGAAGCTAATTAATTCTGAGCAGACTGATGAGGTTATGGCTAGTCCAAGCAGGGCAAAGACCAAAGATAACTACAGCCATAATGTCCCTTCATCACCTTTCACACTGGAGATTCAAGTTAAGAAAATTTTATTTTTAAAAAAATTATGTCAAAGTCGGAGCCCTTTTTGGTCAAACATTGAAATGTCATTCACGATCTCAAACAATATTGCTAGATTATTAATCTTTATTTAACCAGACAGCGTTCATTGAGATCACTAATTGCTTATGCAAGGGAGGCCTGGGCCTGAAGGCAGCCTAACATGCATGTTTTTAACTGTGGAAGGAAACTCAGCTAAACAACGAGTAAATTTCACTCAGAAAGAGCCCAAGCACAAAGCAGAGATTGAACCCAGGACCTTCTTGCTGTGACGCAACAGTGCTAACCACTAAGCCACCGTGCTGCCAGATTTCCATCTTCAGATTGCTGCCTGCAGACTTCACGCTCAGTGTATGTGTTATGAATGATTCCATTACCACATACAATTTTATAAATATCAAATATTTATTGAAGTGACAGAGCAATTTTTGTGCTGCCTAATGTTGCTGTGCAGCCATCTTGAACTAGTTTGACTCCAAAGTGTAGATGTTCTTACAACTTGGTGTCTGCCTCTTGGAGGGCACCAAGAGTTAACCCTAAAGTTCTGAACATCTTGCTCAATGAAAAGTAATAAGACACCTCAGCTACAACCACACTATATCTATAAAATTAACAAAATTAAAGCTTTTTTTGTGTGTTTTAAATTGAGTTGGCTGCAACGGCCATCTTGAGCTGCTGATGCACATTCAATAACTGTTTTGTAAAATGTTTGTAAAAAGTCTTGCCTTTAGCTCATTATATATTTTACTAACAAACTGGCAGAGATAATGTCAAATATTTAATTGTAAGATTGCAAACAAACCTTACACAATCTTGTAGTACTCAGAACATGTGTTAAGGATGAGACTCAGCTACTACTACATCATATTTTAGTGCAATTTCTGTAGCATAGATTCAGTTACAGCCATTTTTGTGTTAGATTAAAGTCAATTGACCATGCCAACCATTGTCAGCTGTGACGTCCACCTTGAATGTGAGTGACTCCAGAAGTTGATCTGTTATAGATGTTTAGCTTATGATTACTTCTGAGTGTTTCATTGAAATTTGTCCACTGGTTCATGAAATATACAAACACACAGACACTATACACTATTATGAATCCAAACCGAGATAATTCAAAATGCTTTCTGCAAAACAGGAAACATGTAGAAACCAACTTCTAAAGATCTGAATTTTTGTTTTATGATGTTTTCTTTGCAGCTAAAATTGTTATAATAATGGTATAAAAAGAGTGAGATAAGTTTTGCATTTGAAAGTTAAACGTTCAGGGTTAAATGCTGGACTTACATAGCATTTGAATGCAGGGAGTGACCCTTACAGCCAGGTTGGGAAACTCATACATCTTACAGCATATACAGCAGCAGCCTTCTACCTTAAAGCTATTTGTATTGATCCAGTCTGGGTTTTTCTTCCAAATGCTCATCAACGCTGAAGCATAAGCTTCTAACGTCATAAAAGATGTAACCATCCACCACAAGACAGTGCAGAAAGGGAGTATACATACAGAAGATCTGCAGCCAAAAGTAAAAACATCCCCTGTGTGGAAGTGGATTTTTAGTTTGTCTTATTAAATTCTAAATTCTTATTATAATTAATGAACT